TTGGCATTACCCCTAAGTACCCGATCCATCGGGGCAATTCAGAGTTTGATGTCTAAGAGCCCTACACACCTGCAATTACTTAAATCCACAAAATTGTACCCGTAGGTATTTGCAGGCACAAAAATGTTGGCATAAAATTAGAGGCCATTTCCTAAAACCTGTGCCGAAATTTTGATGATATGCTATATGAGGGGTTGTTATTTTGAAATGGATTTGTGGAAAGCAATTGAAAATCTCCAGGCATCCCATCTGTGTTTAAAGTAGCAACAATAACAAAACTTTAAATTAGCATAGGAGATTTAAGACATTTCAGGAAAACATTGATTAAATCTGCCAATGAAATGAACGTGTTTGGCGAGTGACCTAATTAGTGTATGCTTGGTTCTTTTTCACTGCACTGCTTACCACTAATTGCTGTTCTGCTGGTCTTCTCCTGACAAGTAAGAAAAAACAAGGATGAGGGATTTGTTGAGGAAATAGTGACATTCAGTTTTAATTCATTTGAACCTGCTGCCAAGCTTAATTATGGAACTGAGAAACTGAGACCGGGAGGCCCCCAGCCATTTAGGTTATAGGAGACGGAGATGTTTAGTGTCTGCCAGTGTATTTGGGTAGCACTTATTGCAGCTAGCTATAAACTTGAGTTTGCTGATGCTTAGCTGTTTTCTTTCCCCCACAGGTAAAAAAAAAAAAAACAACAAAAAAACAAAACATGCTGGTTTTATTTTTAAAATTTAATTATTTAGCCCTAATGGCATCAGGCCAGTACAAAATTACAGGCACTGTATTTCTTAAAGGAAAGGTTTAACAATTATTCTAGATAGTCTTGTCCTGGGTTTCTCTGTGTGTGTGCTTGCATGTAAGAGCTTGTAATATGTCATTCTACAAAAAAAACTCAGGATCCTGGAGGACTTGTAGCATTGGAGTGCTAAAGTCACCCTCAGTCTAAGTAAACTTGAGGCAAGGGGTTCATGTTAGTGATAAGTTCAGTTCCCATCTCTCAAAACAGCAGGGGACAGCACAACTTTCCTTATTTGTGTTTGGAGTTCGTAAAGGAAAATGTCAGGATGCTTCAGGAATAAAGGGGAAATAGTTTTGGTTTTGGTTTCCTGTGGTGGTGATGGATTCTTGTGAGCACAGTTTGAAGGTCCTGGTTTAGAATCTGAGTTTGTTTTTCATGATGTTCTGCATAAAAACTTGGGGGGGCTGGGGGGGGGGTGGGGCGGAATGTATAATCCATTGACCAGAATGTTTACAGGGCAGTGAACACACAATAAAAATGCAGGGGAAAGAAGAAAAAAAAAAGCTGTGGAATTTGAGTCTAGCAGAGGGACAGTCTGGTGGGGCTTGCACTTGTTTTTAAACGAGGAAAAAGAAATGTTTTCTTAGAGCAGTGTCTGATTGGCAGACCCTGATTGGAATTTCATCCCGTGGGATGATTCCAACCATTTTCCTACCTTTTCCCAGGAGGAACCAGGGAACAGAGCAGGGATAGATGCTGGAGCAGCCAAATCCAACCACAGTGCACCTGCCAGGGGCAGCCACAGCAGCCCAGTTCTGCTGGCGGGGAGCACAACCCACTTCAGCCACAGCCTGGACAGGAGGGAGTGACTCTCAGCACAGGGAGTCTGGGGCTTCATTTACACTCTGGAGAACACTGGAGAGGATGTTCCAAGACCCAATTTTAGCTTTCATGAGGGCTAAATTTCATCCATCCAGACAAGTAAATAAAGAAAAACCAACAAAATCCCCAACACACAAAACCCCAAAACCCAAACAGAAAAACCAACACTATTTAGTTAGTGCCTGAGACACAAAAAAATGAAGTGAGGCTATAAACAAATGAAATATTTTAGTGTAGGTCGCTAATGTAGACTATAAACATCTTCGTGGAAGAACGGAAACTGTACAAAAAGGCATCATGCCTGGTTTTCTGTTATATAGCATTGCAGGGTTCTTGTAAGGATACTTGAATGCTGAAACAGCCTGGGAACTTGGCTTCCCTTGTGGCAGATTGATGTTCTTTGGACGGGTTTTCAGCCATGGAGTGATTTTGTCCTGATGTTCTGTGTGTGGTGGAGAGATGTGTCAGGAGGGGGGGAGGGCTAGAAAAAGATACTTGGACTGGAAATGAGCTTGAGGGAAGGAAAATTAACAGCTTTGCAGTGAGACTGGGAGGAGTAATACTAGAATGCATAATGGGCAGCTAAAGATGTGGGGTTTTTTTTATCTTGAGACTCCACTGGATCATTGATATGGTCATATTGCCCCTTGTGCCTGCTGAAAAACTTCTTGGAAGATATTAATGGTTTTAGATATTATGGACTGATAGTACTCTTCAGTGATTTACTATGATAGATATACCTGATATCTATGATACAACACTGGAATATTCACACATTCTGGTTTTTATTAACAAGCAAAACTAACTTAGATGTGAATAACTACTGTGCTGTCTAGAAAGTCAGATTAAAAATAATTTCCTTTCTATTCCTTCATGCATGAAACCTGCACTGTACACTGATGCTAAATATAAAAATCTAACTCCATTATCTGTTTTAATGACAATGTTAAAATTACTTTTGCACTTTTACCTCTTAATTTTTGGGCATGGAAATGGTGAGAAATAAAAAACAATTTCGTTTCCTGAGAAGATCACCTCACTGTCCTAAAAAGTAATTTTCTCAGTGTTTGATCCAAGGCATCCCATCACTTTCCAAGATGTTTCAGATTTCCTGTTTGACAGCTCTGGCTTCTTGTCAGAATCTCTCATATAGAAAATTAGAAGTTGCATCTAATTGTATCTCCTACTTCCTCCCAGAAGTTTCTCTTCCAGAGGGCAAAGGTATTGGAGAAATCCAAGGAGGAAATTTGCTTTCTTGTAGCAAGCTTTTTAGTTCAAAGCAGCATCAGCTTTATTGCTGCTCTGCAGTGGGAAGAGAGCTTGGATAGCACTGCAAAGGAAAATGTGATGTAGGACAAGCTGATTTAAAAATGGCTTGCAGTAAAAAGGGAAAATCAAATGAAGGAATCAGAGAAGGTCAAACACTTCTCACATCCCCAAGTTGATCAAACTCTAGTGTTTATTAGATTTGTTATCACAGTGGCCCTCAATCTGTCAGTGTCTGTATCACAGTGTCCCTCAATCTGTAGTAATCAAAAAAAAATCTGTAGCCCTATCAAAAAAAAATTTCCCCAGTCCTCCCAATGAAAATAAACCCTCCACTAAACAAACCAAAATAGAAAATTGAGCAAAGAAAAGAAAGGTTCAGATCTTGACTTTGCTACAGAATACTGGTTTTCACGCTCTTTAAGTCAGCAGTTTCTTTAATAATTTTGTCTGTTTCTTTTTTCTTATTTCTTTTAGTTTTCTTAAAACTTTATGGATGAGATTTAAGCCAAGAAACAAAAACATCCAAGTACACAAAATCCTTTCATGATTTGACTAAACCCTACATTAAGTAATCTATGCAGTCCAAAATAATAATAGAGATGTTTGTAATTTCAGAGGCAAGGTGATAACAAGAACACAGTCTTATACCTAGATTTGGTTCAGAGAGGATGGCAATGAAGTCTCCTAGGAGTAGGAAGAAAGGCTGGGAAAAGAAATACAAATGGATACAGCAGGAAATCATATCTGTGGTTGCCTCCTGTAGGATGTGTATTGACCTAGTAAATGGAGATGTCTGCAAAGAAGCTATAAATATGCTTGTGCTAATATTATTAAAGCTTTCAGGCGGTTCAGTTTCATCCATATGGCTTTCCAGGGAGAAGCCAAAGATGTGGCCTTTGGCCACAGCTTGTCTGAGCAGCACATGCCTACCTGCACTGTAATTACTTAATAAGATGTAGGGGTTTTCCCTGGATGGATTGTGAAATATATGCAGCTGCCTAAATAGGTGCTTGGTGAGATTTTTAGATCTTCCTAATTCGGTTGAAATCTTTATGAGCAAGACATTTAAATGCTGTTGAAGGTCAGAGAGAGCTCAGTGCTTTAAAAGTTGTGAAAAGTCAATTCCTTGTCTTCTTACCCCTGCTTTATGTCTTTAGGAAAATAAAAGTAACTTTCAGAGTTTTTGCTAGCCAGTAGGGATAAGAGCACTGGGCTTGCTTGAACATACCAGTGTTGCTGGCTAAAGGAAAAAAAAAATTGAAGAGGGAGGAAGAGAAGATAGGAAGTGACTGGCTGATTAATATACTAAACTAATGCAAATACTGGGAGTAAGAAAGCCACTTAACAGCAGATGATTATCCCTTGCCAATCCCTAAGATCTAACCTCTAACCTGCTGTTCAGATAATACCCCAAAGCAATTCCTGGCAGAGATCTGTCCCTAGTTCCAGCAGAGAGATCAGTGAAATGAAAGGAATGTGGTTTAACCAAAGCTGAGACTGCTATTTCACCATCTTCTAGAGCTATCTGGCAGTTGCCTGTAGAGCATACTTGGGATTTCTCCCTGAACTGGTCCCACCTGCTGGAAGGCTGCTCTCCCTGCCCCTGCACACGTGGCCACAGCTGCCACATGGACTCGTTGCCCTCCTCTTCTGAAACTTAATATTTGTATGGGTTTAAAGGACAGAAGAAGGAGTGTTTTCTCATGAGACCAGCCATTGCAAACTGTAGCTTTGTCTGCCAGGAAGATCCATAATTTTACCTCCTCTTACGGAAGCGATGGGGCAGGACTCCAGAGCACTGAGAATGTGTGCCTTTCTGCTGCCAGGGACCTTTAGCCTGTTAGGACAGACAAACACCTGCCTACACTCCCCTTCTGTTGCGTATCTTCTGGCACTTTGAAGCTTCAGGTCACTGCATTCCCTTAAACCCTACTAGGTTCAGGAGAAAAGATGTGACAAGTAGAGGTGTGGTGGCAGTGCTGCTGGAAGATTATGAGACAGTGTAAGAGAATGGAAATATTTTCCTTCTTTATGAAAATAAAATCTTTGTCTGTGCTCATACACATGGATAATACTGAAAATCTATATTTATCTTTTTATTCTCCAGGTTATGGTTTTGTAGATTTTGACAGTCCTGCAGCAGCACAGAAAGCAGTAGCATCTCTCAAAGCAAATGGCGTGCAGGCGCAGATGGCAAAGGTAAGAAGACCTATGTAATTGCAGGATTATTTCAACTGTTGGGTTAAATTTCCAGGGGTTTGTTTTGCTCCTGTTTTTCTTAAGGTTTTGCATTGCTTATTCCAAAGATTCATGAATCCTTTGGCTCCAGCACCTTGTTCATCCCATGGTTTGTCTGTCTTCTTGAGAGCTGTGTCTCCTGTAATGGGCTCTGCTCTGACTCCCTCTCTGCCCCTCTGACTGGAGAGGGTTGTAAGACAGAGCACCGAAGTGGAAGAGTATTGGAAATGCCTTTTGCTAAGTACTGGGTGAAAGAATTGCCTTTTCTTCACCTTGAAGTTGTCTTCATTTGGTTCTTTTGCTTTGGAAAAGTTAGTCTTTTCTGATGTGCCTGGTGGCCTTCTCTGAAGGTGTGCTTGAGCATAAGGAAAATCTGGTTGATCTGCCAAGGTTTGGCTTGTTGAGTTTTTTTTTTTATTTTGAAGACATAAATGAAAGTGTAGAAGGTTGCTGAAAGAATAGTTGCTAAAGGTTGTCTGGAGATGATTGGCATCTGTTCGCAGAGGCTGCAGGAGCTGTCACTCTGGTCTTGGAATTGTCCTTCGTCCCCAGGCAAAGGGGCTGATGGTGAGACAGGGGTTATAGTAATGGCCATCATGAGGTCCAGCTGTTGTCTTCTTGAAGGAGGAAAAATATGTCTTTGGCCTCTAGACTGTGTCAGACAGCAAAAATAGCTGTTGTTTTGTACTTTAAAACTGCCTTGCTTGAGAATCACAAAAAGCACTTAATATTGCCAGATTTAGTCTCTCTAGAAATGATGGTGTCCTAGAATCTAAAATAGTGAAAGCAAACAGGTAATTACAAAAAAGAGGGAAATCAACTAATAAACAGCCCTCAGATTTGAAGATTTCTACTTAAAGGAATGATGGTGGTTTAAACCTTTGTTTTTCAATGATGTCGTAGTAAAAACATAATTTTGTTTTGGTGTATGTGGTTTTTTTTGTTGTTGTTTTTTTTTT